ACGTGCGTCATGAATCTCTAAGATGAAGAAGGCTGGTCATCATTTTCCATGCATTGACTTGCAGATGCCTTTGCTACAGTCTCTCACAGAACTAACCAGTGCTGTGCAGAGCAATCTCCGGGAAGCCCTGAAGTAACTGATGTTAATATTTAAGCAATTTGTTGGCACTCCCTAATCCTAATGGCAACGTGATGTCATGTACCTGTACGCAGATTGCGTACCGCGCTCCTGTCTCCCCTTCCTCCCTCCTTCCTTCCTTTTTCTGCAGGCAGGCAGGGGGGTCACCCAGGGAGGTGCACATTTGCCACCCTTTGCCTGCTGGAGTGCACCACCGTCGATGCTTTTCTTCCAAATCATAAACACTTCTGAGTGCCTTCCGTGATTGTCCCCATCTGTTGTCCCCATTTCTGGAAGGAGGGCCCTAAAAAATGTGGTGAAAAAGTAGAAATGCACAGATTAATAGAGCAACAGGTCTTTATTTTGGAATAAGTGGATACAATGGTGGCACTGAGTAATGGGGAGAAAACCTAACAGCAGTGCTTCAACTGGAACGTAATTAAAACCTGGGAAGGAGCCCGCACGAGCCAGGGTGGTGGCCAGACAAGGTGACATGAAGCCAGAGAGGCGAGAGCCAGCTGTGTTTTACAGCAGCTGCTGCACGCGGGGAGCCGGGCTGGCGCTGCCCTGCGTCTTGCCGTGGTGGCTCCTGGGTTATAAACGGGACGGAAGGGAAGAGCACAGACTCTGACAGGCAGCAGCGACTGCCTCGTTGTGACCCGTCCGTCAGGCCTGGCTCAGATCCCTTCCCTGCCAGGACCTGCTTCCTCGAGGCGTCTCCCACACCGTGATTCCGGTGTGCTGATGACCTGCCATCCACCTGGCACTTGACTCTGGCGTCCTCTGTGAGTGACCTTTTGGGGGGCATCTAATGGCAGGTGTCAGTTCTGAGGGCTCGTCGTGGAAAGGTGCTGTGCCCATTGCTTTGAATGCATTTGCCATCAACACTCACGGTGGTCTCCAGGGTGGGCGCCAAATCTACCCGTATTTTTACATGTGAACAAACTGAAACCCAGAGAGGTTAAGTAACCGGTCAAGATGACAAAGGTCAGGAACAACAGAGCCAAGATTTGAACCTGGAGAGAGAGATTCCAGAATCCACCCACGTAGCCATTTTGGACTCCACAGTGCCGAGTACAGAGTACGATTGAGCACACAAGATCGGGGCTCAAGGACGATTTTTTTGATTTGGCGGATTAATAGGCAGACTGGCGGGGACTGGGATGACAGACAGTGGCTTGGAGAGGCACCGTTGGGAAAAGTTGCAAGAACTTGCTGGTCTGTTTTAAGTGCCGGCGAAGCTGATTTAGACTGCCCTGTGCACGTTTGCTCCTGTTGCATTGGAGCCACAGTAAATGAATAAACTTGAAAGAAAAAACATTAATGCATACTCAATTTTAATAGTTCATATCACTCCACATTTACTTTAGTTTTTTTCAATATATACATACATAGTTGTAGTTAGTAGCTACATATTTCTTTGTTCTCTAAAATATCACTTTAATTTACATATTTCCATAGGTTGACAAATATTGGAAGAATCCACATAATTGTCATTTTTAATGGCTAAGCAGCATTCCATTGTGTTTGTGCAGCTTGACTGGGTTGGTCATTTCTCGTGGACGTGGCCATAGAAAGCAGGGGTAGACTTACTGCTTGGTCCATGTCGGTGGAATGTGACTTCCAGGGCTACAGCTGAGACTAGATTTGTTTTTCATGTTATTATTAATAGCAATATGGTGTATTTGTGGAGTTTTATACTTTTCAAAATATTTTCTCGTTTCTCATTTGATCATTCCCAAGACACCTTCCTGCAGAATTGGGAATACCAGAAAATTCCCATTTTGTGTACTGGAGAATTCAGAGCTCAGTGCAGGGCCAAACTGGCACGTGGGTGGTGCTCGGGAACTGCTGGGTGGAATGAAGGGCTGGAATCGGGTCTCCCGATGTCAGTCTCATCCCCTTCTAATGCATCAGATGCTAATGATTTTGACGATCTCGGTGTGAGCCATATTTTGGGTCTTACCTCTTCTTTTTCACCTTCCTCTTTTTTCCATCTGGTCCTGTTCTTCTATCTCTGTATTTTTTCAATTTTCTTGTGTCTTCTTTTTTTTCCTTAACACTTGCTGCTTTATTTTCCTTATCTTTTTTTTATAATGCACTTTCTTTTCTTATTTCTCATCTTGTCACCCTATCTCTTATTGCTTGAACTATGAATTGCACATGCACTCTCTCTGCAGAACTTTCAGTGATTGTCTCTTCCTTGTTCTCCCGCATTGTGTTTTATTTAAGAGATCACACTGTCTGCAGAGGGATGATTGAATAGTTCAAGGCATTTTTGTTTTGAGCTTTTCCTTTGAGTACAAAAGAACATGAACTATGCTTACATTGAGTCCTTCCTAAATTAAAAAAAGAACTTGTATTTTCTCTTTTGTGTGACTTTTACTGAACAATACCTTACGTAGCTTTAGTAAGGACAGAGAGACTTATTCGTAAGCTTTCAACTCAGGAAGGCTCCCGGTGCCGTCAGGATTGCTGTTGCCTTTGTAACGACCGCGGGTCGGGTCGGGACCTGAATTGCAGAGAAAGTTTTTGTGGGTCTACGTTAAAAGAACACAGCTGAATTTACACCCAGGTTATCCTCTTTAGTACTAAAGATAGTACAACTGCTAAGACTATACTCACCTA